CCAGTCAGGCCAGGCATTGGAGGCACCGCTCCACGGGAAAGGACTTCCAGCAAAAAAACCTCTATAAAGACAAAAACCATCTCTGCAGAGGAGCTGAGGTGCTGGGGCAGATCTTGATACCTACAAAGTACACACCCCCCCCCCCTTCCTCTGGGTACAGCTGCAGGCAGGTATTGCAGTTTACTTGAATTCTAAGAATTAATGACTTGGTCTTAATAAGGGTACTTTTCTTAAGCTTCATTCTTTTGCTGGAAAAGAAGGGATGTGAGGTTTGCGTTACCTGAGCTGAGAAAGTGTACTATTGCTGGAGCCACGCGGGATTTCTTTGCTGGTGTAAGGGTTACTGATGTGCAAGAGCATCCTTATCTCGTGAGCCCGGGACTCTGCTGTTATCTCACTCCCTGCATCTGCTCCTGCTTCCATGACCCATCCCTCCATGCAAGGGGCCCCTACTTTTTGCTTCTGTCAGGTACAGCCTTTGGGGTCACGTTCTTTCTGCATCAGTCCTGAGCTGGTTTTGTATGGGAAGGTGGCATATCCTTCCTTTGCAAGCCTAGAGGAGCCCGCACCATTCCAGCGTGGATAGCTGGGCTGTCTTGCTGCTTTATTCCAGGCTCCATCAGTGGTTCTCACAGCGTATTTTCTCTTTGCTTTATACCATGCAGAACAAAATTGCTCACTAAGTCCAGATTCCCCTCTTCTTACCGTGGTTTCTTCTGAGGAGGTTTAACTTATTTTATTTTACACAATGGCTTTTTATTTTGATTAAGAAAAAGGGGAATAATTTATTTCTAGTTATTTAAGTATTTTGATGGGACTCATTTTCTCTGGACATAGGAGAAAGGAGTTCTCTGTTCCCTCTCCTTCAAAGGACTGCCTCATTTCACTGGGGGCACCTCTGAACCCAGGGAGAGCCCTGGCTGCTGTAACTGGGAGGCTGTAAAAATCCTATTTCAGCCTTCAGAGCATTTCTCAGACTTTGGAAAGTGGGTGGTCCTTTGAGCCCTTTGTCGTCTTCCGGGCCACTGGCTTGACAAAGTTTGGTTTCCCCCTCTTCTGGGAGAGAGAAGGGAGGAAAACCGGGCTGTACCTGCTGGACTGGAGGCTGGTTTGTGCTCAGCAGCCGAGGCGGAAGGCAGCGATGGAGAGCAGTGGCAGCGGCGACTGCAGCCCCGTTCTCACCGCCCTGCCCTGGAGCTGAGCGCTCGCTGCCACCAACACTTCATGGTCCCATTTGAGTCGGGGGGGTACAACCAGAGTGGTTGTGCTGTGCTCTGAGAAATGCTGCTGGAGGCTGAGTGCTGCCTGTCAGAAGAAGAGTCTGTCTGTCTGCCAGCCACCCTGCGGCTTCTGAGCAGTGTCGTGTTGGAAACTGTCCATACACCACGTCCTTCCTCTAGGTAGGGTGCGTATTCACGTTAGCCGAGCGACCCCAGAACATCCCTGGCGGAGCCGCTGCTGGCTGGGTAGGGATGCAGCGTCTGCATTGCAGGGGGAGCAGCGTGGTCCCTGCGGGCTGGGGGGCTGAGCTGCCAGCTAGCGTTAGCTGTTGTTTCTTCCTTGGAGTTCAGGGAGGTGTGAGGATTTACACCAGTCAGGAACACGGCTTGGGTTTATTTACACACCCTTGCAGCTGGATGCTGGGCAGCCGCTTGTGCTAAGCCCCTTTCCCCCAGGCCTCTGAGCCGCGATTGCTCTGACACCAGCTTGTCTGGGGTGCAGAATAGGCACCGCCAGCCCAGAGGCAGCTTGTTTCAGTAAAGGCTGTGCCGTTTCGGAGCCCCCCCAGCTCTGGGCCGATCCCCGTTGCCGCATGCAATGCATGGGCCATTGGCCTTCATGGGTGTGCGTGCAGGGACCGCAGCCTCCCGCGTGGGTCGCGCTGCCTGCAGTAATGGGGCGCTGCGGGGGGGATACGCTGCAGCCTGCGGGATGCCTCAGTGGCAATGGCCTCTCTGCCCTGGGAGCCAGCAGGGTCCCTGCGCCGGTGGTTCAAGTGCAGAGTCCTGCCTAGCAAACGGGACATCTGCTTTGATTTCAGGGGGGGTTGGGGAGTTACGTAGTGTTTAGTAGAGGAATGCTGCAGACTGATGCACGGTAGCTACGAGCATGGCTTTGGTAGTGACTGCCTTGCTCGATGAGTAGTTCCACGGTAGCTTTAGTGACAGAGGGCACGAGGCGAAGCAGAGGCGATGGAGTAACGCTTGCAGGGTGATCTACGGCTGCGGCAATGAACCACAGAACTGGTAGGACCCTCGCTGCCTTCAGCTGGTTGTCCCCATGTCACAGACCAGCAGCGGTCCCTGGGGCTCTTGCAGGCAGGGGCTGCTCCGGGTCACCTGGAGGACTCATCGGCACGGGTGCATCCGCTCTGCTCCACCAACGGCAGAAGTCCCTCGGACGCCAGCAGTGCTGTCATGCTGTGCTTTGTGGCAGTGGGGTCTGACACTGGGGACAAGGCAAGCAAACCATCTGCATCAGCTCTGCCACCGTCAGCAGGTTGCAAAGCTCAGCTCTGAGCTCAACGCCTTTGTTGGAAATGGGCCTCGGGAACTCTGCTGAAAGGGCTGAGCTGGAGCCTTTGGCCACAGCGCTTAAAGACACTGGCTCTGTTCAGTTTGTCTGTGCCTGCCGCAACAGGAGATGTCTCAGATCTGTGTTCCAAGAGTGCCGAGCCCTACAGATGCGTGTCTGGAGTGGGAAGTCTTGGATGTGGTGCAGCTGAGACCGAGCTGGATGCTGCCATCGTTGCAGATGGGGCTTGGTGACAGCACCTATGGCTTTTAAGATTTGTAGTGGCAATTAGTGGATGGTCTCACCTCCATGTGGGCGAGAGACTGTTTTTGTGGAGATAGACAGGACCTTTAGAGTAGTAGCGTCACGGTAGTTAATATGCCCAGTCACAGTGCATGGTGGTTATTAATTGTGTTTAGAGGCACCATCAGGGTGCTTGGAGCTGTGTAAGGATAAATGAAGTTAAAAGCCCTGCTCTAGGAATTTTACAGGCTCAACCCACTGGTGTCCAGGCTGGATGGCTAATCCACAGGGTCTCTGTGGAAGAGGTTCTGCTTGCCAGGTCTCGGAAAGGCCTCTTGGGAGACGATGGGACAGAAGTTCTGTTACATGAGAACTCAAGAGCAGGTGACGCCGTGGCTACAGCGAGTTGTTGACGAGTGTGGAAAGACACCTGGGTACCAGCAGCGTACGTGCACTTCGCAATGGGCTGTTACACCCTTCGGCGTGCACGCTGTGCACGTCTTCCCCGCGTGCGTTTATACAGCGTGCAACTCTTCCATGACCCGTTCAGTCACAAAGCCAACAGCACTTGTGCGTACGAGCTCCAGTGTCCCCTGGGGCTGTCCCTTGGGCATGAAGAGAAGAGCAGAAGCTCACATTCTGCTGCGTACCTGGACCTCGCTGGTTTTTGGGCAGGAGCTGGTTTTGTAACACCAATTGATTCTCTGTGTGTGCAGTGAATAAAAAGACCATTCTACCTCTGGAAAGAGCCCCTGTGATTTCTCAGACTCTAAATGTTGTAGCAAAACCCCTCCGACTTTCTATACGGAAGGCAGGAGGTCACTCAGAAAATACTTCTCCAATGAGGTTCTCACAGGACCCGAAGAGTCCAACCTCATTTCATATTTGGGCATTTCCTCTTTAGACTGAGCCCTGGGAAGCTCAATTCATCTCTGTCATTTTTTTCCTCAGGAAAAAACATCCACTGTCTTCAGGGAAGGATTTCACTGAAGTGAAGATATCAAGACCTGGTCCATAGCCATGTGAGAAAGAGAACGCTCTAGCACAGGGCTGCCAGAGATCCTGATCTTCAGAAGGTCAGTGGAAACCAGAGGCTCTTGAGACCTCTTGTAATCAGGCCATGCTTAGAAACAGTCATATTCCAGCCAGGGCTGAACATCTTTCTGGAAATGGGTCTCAGCTGCAAAGGTTAGGTCTAATACTGAATTTTCTCTGTGGTTTTGATTTTGGCCCATCTCTCTTCCTCTGTCCCAGGCTGCTTTAAATTAATCCTCTGATAAAGCACATCATTTCTTAGGTGATTTCTCTCATCTCCTGCTGCAGGGGATCTAAATAGCATATCTTGAGATCTGGGTCAAATATGCTGTTACCCCATGCTTCCTTGTCACAGCAGGCTGAATGTTCCAGGAATGGGAGGACACAAGCATCTCCGTCAGCCCTTGGGGTGCCAAGGGCATTTCAGGAGGTTGGACAAATCATCTTACAGCTCAGCCCTTGTTGTTCTGCCTTTCTGAGAGGAGTTAGGTTGGATGTGCTATTCAGTAAGGCCATTTGTTCCTCACAGCCATAACCACCTCCTGCAGCTGTGTCTTACCTAGGGTTAGGCTCTAAAAAAATGTAAAAAGTCCTTAATCTTGCAGGACACACAGGAAAGGGGTAAGAGCAATTTGCTACGAACTATGCAGTTGAAATCTCAAAGTGATGGAGGTGGAGGCTCCACACCCGACCATGATGGAGGCGCATCCACCTTCCTCTTTGTGGATGAGTAAAACCCTGGGGTGGGAAGGACCCACCCCAGTGCAAAGAATCGTCAGTACCTACTGTGTCTTTCCTACAGCAACTCACTTGCACTACAGCTGAATGTTTGTCTGTTCCCGTTCTTTGTTTTGTCCTGGATTCTCTTTGTGAACTGTATTTGGTCTTGTGCATTAGGCTTCTAGTGTAATGTGTGTTTTTAGAGCAATAAAATGTGGCAGCTTTTTATACAAAATATCTGACTCTGCCTCTTTCAAAGTCCATGAGACTCGTGGGAAGCTGCAGGCTGCTGTGGTCCCCTTGTCACAGTCCCGGTCTGCCTGTCCCATCCCACCCGCCTGCAGCTCCCTTCTCTGCAAATCAAGGCAACATCTTGCAGTTGGAGGCAAAACGGTTTTATTCTTGCAACTACAGGATGAACTTTTGCCAAAACAGCTAGAGCTGTTAACTCTGTTCCAGCCAAACCCTGGGGCTCTTGGGCTGCTTGGGTGGCTGCTGAGCGAAGGACATGCATGGTCTCTTGTCCACAGCTGCCACATGGTCTATTTTCCAGGCTGTCTTTATCTCCAGCCTGGTGCTGGTTACCTGGTCCCATACCTCTGGTTGACACGTTGTCCAGAGAGCAACAGGTAGTGTTGAATGACAGGAAGAGAGGGTAAAGTTCCAGTTAGCAACTTCTACATCCAAAGCAAGAGGGTCATTGCCGCCCGTTCCTCTCCCATTGCCTTCACGGAGAGCTCCAGCCTCTACCTCCAGCAGCACAACCATTTTCTTTGTTGCCCTTGAGCATGTGGACTGGTGGCCTGGCACGGCTGGCAGATGACAGCTCCTACCTCATGAATGACCTCCGGCCAGTCCTGAAGAAGGCCTCTATCTGTTCCAGGGATCTGCCTTTGGTTTCTGGAACGCAACAGCCTGTGAATAAGATGTTCCCAGCGCAGATGACAGCAAAGAATAGGAAGGGCACCTCGAGGCCGAAGGCTTCCTGGAAAGCAGGATGGAAAGCAGACATGAGCTGGTGCAGAGGTGGTCTGAGGAGGGGCTGCTGGATGCCCTCCAGGGGCAGTACCCACCACGACGCGGAGGAAGAACTGGGTCAGGGTGAAGGCTGTCAGCCAGCTCACAAGGACACAGAGGCCTGAGGCTACCCCGCGGGCTTTCAGAGGGAGGATCTCCGACATCAGCAACCAAGTGATGGGGCCCCAGCCCATGGCATAACCTGCAGGGGAGGAGGGGTAAGGTGAGGCTGTTGAGGCACCGAAGCCTGCTGGGGAGTGCGGCAGAGCCCTGTGTAATCCTGCCCTGCTCCTGTGTCAATCGTTATTGCCCCCCATTCATGTTCTGTCAGTCCTCAGCGTGACTGCAGATGCCATCTTTCTTGGTCTTCCAGGGACATCTTCCTGCCTTCTAACCCCAAGCCCAAATCTTCTTGCTCTGTGTCACCCTGCCTCGGATGAGAAATGTCCCCCCAGGCTGGTACCCAGCCCTGTGCTGCGGGCCCTGGGCTCTCACGCTCTGTACCTACCCATAATGAAGAACATGGCTGCCAGGAGGGGGATGAGGGTGATGTAGTTGGTCGGCTCAGCGGGAAGGCTGGCAGAGCTCACCAGGGTCTTGTTGGCAATGGTACCATTCTGAGAAGCTGGCACAAAGTGGACATAGAGCCCCATAGTCAGGCTGGAGACCAACATGACACCAGCTGTGGAGAGATACAACAGCATAGTAGGACCGATGGGTGAGCAATGCCCTCCATGCCAAGGGCTGAGCTCCCGGAAATGCCTCTGCTCAGAAGCTGAGCTACCACCAAAGGAAAGAGACCTCCCCCACTCCCTGCCCGAGTCCTGTAAGGCTGAAGTTTCCATTCCTGCACGTTTGCAGAGCTGCTGGAAATCCTTAACTAAGAGCTTCCCTTGCACAACAGCAGGAGAGAGACATACCCGATACAAAAAGAAGAATCTTCCGCCCAGCTTTATCCATTGACACAGCAGCGACCGCCACCGAGAACAGACGAACCAAGCCAACAAGAGCTGCGTCGTACTCTGGTTTCTGCAACAGCAAAAGCAGAGGGGAAGCTGAGATGGGCGAGCCAGAGAAAGGGCAGGTTCCTACCCGTGTTACCCGGACTCTGGCTGATGCCTTTGTCAAAGCCATCCTCTGTAATAAGAGACCACGGAAGAAGAGCCTGAAGCTCAGAGGAGGAGAGTGAGGAGGCAGCAGGGCCAATCCTGCTCCCCATCCTCATGCAGCCTTTTGCAAGGCAGGTGCTTGGCAATTGCTGCCACCCAGGTGCTTTAAAAAAGGCTTCAGAGTTGGGATCCCAGAGGTGCAGGGGATTTGGAGCATTGGGCAGCCATCACTGAAGACGGAGCAGTCTGAGCACGGGCCAAACACCAGGGCTCACCAGGATGACGGATGTTTTCTTGAATATTGACTGCAGGTACACGAGGAGACAGGTGACACCAGAGAGCTGCTGCAGGAACCTCATCCCCACCGCGATCAGGATGGGCTTGTAAATGAAGGGGTCCTTGATCTCAGCACAGGAAATCCGCCGGCTCTGGAGGGGACAAAGCAGAAAGCCGAGGTGCTACCACCTCTGGGCTCCACCGTGGCACCCAGAAGATGGCCTAGGAGTTGCCCAAAGGAGGCTGGATTTCACATTTTCACATTACATCCCCCCTGCTGGAGGTGAGCCTCCTCACCTGCTTCCTCACACTGTCCTTGATCTGCTCATACTCCCGGGCGTAGTCCGTGTCCTTGCCCCGCAGCCAGCACAGCGACCCCAGGGCCTCGTCATCCTTCCCCTGGGAGAGCAGGAACCGGGGCGAGTTGGGCATGAAGCAGAGCAGGATGATCATCGTGAGCACGGGCACCTCCCCTGCGACAGCCAGCCAGCGCCAGTCCAGGACCAGCCCTGCCAGAGCAGCACCGTTAGGAGGGGACTCCTGGCCTTGTTCCCACATGGGCACCCCAACCGCAGAGATTTAATAAATCCAGAGGGGAAAAAAAAAAAAAAAATTCCCCAAAGACTAGAGGGACGTTTTCCAAGTTTTTCTCCTAGCAAAGAGGCATTTTCAGCTGTTGTTCAGTGTGGGGAAATTCCAGCAAGCTCCCCCAAATCCTAGAGGATCCAGCAAGATCCTGCAGCACCCAGGGCACACGCTGGCAGGAGATGCCCATGCAGTTCATCGCGTGCTGCCCTCCAGCCCTGAGGGAACCTCGGCAGGACCCAGGTCTGCAGGCACGGTGACGGCCGTGGGTCTGCAGGGGTTATGGGTTCATCCCTCTGAGCACACACACATGTGTGGGTTACGCACGGGTGATCCTGTCCAGACCCCTTTTGCACACCCGTGGTGGCGGTTGTGAGCTGACTGCGAGGGGAAGGAATCCATCAACTTGCTGAGAGAGTTGTTTAAAAATAAACTCCCCTTCCCCTAAGGCCTCGCAGAGGGTTTCCTGCCCTCCGAACACCAAGATACTTGCCCAGTGCGTACAGGACGAGGGAGCCCAGCACTGCCATGATCTGAGGACAAGCACCCAGCATGCCTCTGACCCCGGGGTGGGAGATCTCCGAGATGTAGACCTGGAGCAGGACAACACACGCTTAACAGAGCTGCAACATGCAGCCACCACCGCCAGTCCTCTGCCACCTCGCAGTCATCCACTGCAGCTAGGGGAAACCCAAACTGCTGGGAAACTGCCCTCTCGGGGTGGAAACCTGATGGGTCCAGTGGCAGGAGCTGGTCCTGGCAGCCTCGCAAGCACTGCCGCCTCCCTCCCTCACCCCGGCATGGGAGAAGTGCTCCAGCGGCATGCTCAGACTCCCATTACTGGAAAGCTGCGCCCCAGGGTTACTCAATTCTTGCCTTCCCTCTGCATGCAACGTGAGGTCGGTGTTCGGGAAATACAAGAGGAAATAACTGCTGGGAGGAACAGGGCAGACATCGAGGACCTGCCTTCCCTTTTCTGTGGGTGAGAAAGTCCAGCAGCGTGGTGGGACCTGGGGCTGGCCGAGCCAGGGCTGCTAACGCAGGGCATCCTCCCTACCCCTGGTCGCCCAGCCGCAGCCCTGGAGCTCTGCTGATGCCTCCAAAAACCAGCGGGATGCCCCAGGCTCAGCTACAGCACCGCCCTGTCTCCCGCCATGCAAATCCCTGGCAAACCACATTACCGGGATGGATGCAGACGTCACGCCGCCGGCGTAGCCCGTCAGCACGCGGCCCAACAGCAGCATCCCTGTCCCCTGGGCACCGGCCATCACCGCCGCTCCCAGCGTGAACACCGACTGTGGGGGGACACAGAGAGGGGGCTCAGTGGGTCCGGGCTCCCCCTGCACACCCACTGGCTCTGCCCCCCCCACCCCCAGCAGGGACAACCCCGCTCCTTACCCCAAACCAGGATGCTGTGTGCTGGTCCAGCCTCAGTGCAGGGGTGGGGTGAGCCTCCAGGGCAGGGATGACGGGCGAGGGGTAAACCAGGGCAAAGCCAAAATTGAAGTTCCCCAGGACAGCGGCAAACACGGCCAGGTAGAGCCACTTGTTGCGGAGGCTCCTGAGGGAGGGACAGAGCGAGAAGGACGCGTTGGGTGCCTTTATCGCACTCAGCAGAACTTTAACTCTGTCTTACAGCTTCCTCCAGCCTTTGCCGAGGCTCTCGTGACACCCATGGAGGGATTTTCCTGGGGAATGGCCCTGCACAGCCCCAGGCTGGTGGGGTTTCTCCAAGCAGAGCAGCAGCCGCTCCTGCCATAAGGCAGGGGGTGAGAGCCCGTCCCCCCGGGCACCACCAATGCTTCCCTCTACACTGGGCGGTTTTCAATGGGTTCAACAAACTGAGAAAAGCAGAAGCTACAGCCGGGCGGCACCATGGACCCAGCTAGCAGCTGGCTCGTCCCAGTGGAGCAGGGAGGGGGTTCCTTTCAAGGACCCCGTGCCCTCCAGCAGCACCTTATGCCCCCATGAGACTCAGATGCCCAAAAGCATGCAGACCCGTGGCTCTCCCAGGCGGGCTCATCCAGCACTGCACACCCTGGGCAGGATGAGACCCCATCTCAAGGCACCTCAGGAATGACAGCAGCATGAAGCAGTTCTTCCACCAGCTCCCCCCAGCCCAGCGCTCTCGGGATTGGGGGTACAGCCCCCCCCGCAGCCAGCCCCACGGCCCCCGCCTGGCCCTTACTGCAGGTACGCCTTGTCGAGCCTCTTGCCAGCGCTCTCGGGGAAGGTCCGATACGAGGAGCTTGTCTTCCTCACGAGGGGTTCCCGTACGCTGGGATCCATGGCAGTGCCGTGGCCGGTGCCCGTCGTGGTGTGGGTGCCGCTTTGCTCGGGGCCGGATGCTCGGGGCTGCCTCCGCGGACAGGGAGGAAGAGGCAGATGAAAGCAAAAGGGGAGAGGCTGCCTGGCGTTGCCTAATCAGAGAAATCTGTGCCTCATGGGCTCACGCCTGGCTGGCCTCTGGGGAGGAAACTGGGGGGGCCGGAAAACTAGCAGACGAAGAGCCACAGTGAAATGGTGGTACCCTGCAGCCTTCACCCCGCGCCCACCAAGCCCCTGTCCCCATCGACACCAAAACCCATCGTTGCAGCGACACTTACAGGGATGATCCTCGCAGAACCGTTTCTACCAGCAAGAAATGTCCCTTTGCTACAGCCACGTCTCTCCCCTTGAGGAACTGGTACCAGTTAGCTAGACTGGCCAAACACTGCTGCTTTTTACAAGGGTAAATTGCATCCGTGTCAGCCTCCTCAGCTGCCCTGGGGAAGGGTTTTCAACGTAGACCAGTGCTGAGGAAGAGGAAGGAGAGGAAACAAGGGCGGTGAATTCCGAAGGGGCACAGGGAGCAGGTGAGGGGGATGATGAGCGCTGATGAGGATGGGAAAGGGGAGGGCAGCATCTCTGCTGCATTGGCTGAAGCTGCTGGGGACCCCGCGCTGCCCATGGGAGCCTTTGCCCCCTCGCCCTGATCCCCCCAACCCCGCAGGGCTCAGCGAGCAGTGTTGTGCTGGGGCATCTGCAGCTCCTGGGGGGCTGCAAGGTCCAAACTCACCCTGTTGGAAAGGCAGGGAAATACTAAGCTGCAGCTGCTGGGGACCCCGCGCTGCCCATGGGAGCCTTTGCCCCCTCGCCCTGATCCCCCCAACCCCGCAGGGCTCAGCGAGCAGTGTTGTGCTGGGGCATCTGCAGCTCCTGGGGGGCTGCAAGGTCCAAACTCACCCTGTTGGAAAGGCAGGGAAATACTAA